TTTACTGCGGGTGGATCTTCTGAGAGCCCTTTCAAGGTTTATAAAACTCAGTTTCCAGGTGATCAATATACATTAAGTTCTCCCAATCGTAGTATTCCATGTGATGTACACTGACATGCCAAAAATGCTGTTGAACGATTTGAACTGGATAAAAATAGCAGACGAAAATGTGTTTACAAAATAAAAATAGTTCGGTAGCCAATGAAAATACCATGTTCATTTGCATATCGACCGTGAAAATACCGAAAACATTATTGCATGGGTGATATGCAAATTAGTTTGGGCCAAAATAAGTGACTGCCTAAAAGTATCATTATTGTTGTTCAAATTTCATTTCACTCGGCGTATATTCATGTACCCCAAGGGGAAAATATCATACTTCTAAATATTGTTTATTTCGAAAAACTGTACTCCTGAAGGGACTACTTTGTTTGCTCTCAGACCTCATTTGCATATGGGTTGTGGAAATACCGATTTTGATTTCATGGACGAATCAAAATAAACTGCAGTACATATGTAATAATTGTTCTTATTGCACATAAAGCCCATACTCTGTCCAGACATTATGCTAATGTGATTCATTTCCCATCACTACACCTGGTTCCTGGTTTTATCAAAACCTACATTGTATATAATTATTACAGCTGATGAATCTCCATGAAAGACATTTTTATTTTTGACATTACAGTGGTGTCATGGTGTGTACAGATGTCATGGCCAGGGGTATTGATATATTGGATGTTGAATGGGTGATACAGTATGACCCGCCGACGTCAGCCACGTGAGTATACTCATTCTCTTTCCTGCTATATGACAGGCTTGCATTCTGTCAGCACACCATTTACAACACTATAAACTACCCAGAATTCTTTATGATTTTATGACTCTTATCTCTCTGAAATTTTTTCCTATTTTGAATCCTATTAAATTCCAAAAGAGTCTTCTGTAACAGTTTGTTTTGCAATGTGTGATCACAAAGTGAAATTTACCTTCTAGTGTAAAACAATTGATAGAGGTGCTAAAAGTACTGTCAATCTTAGGACAATATAGTCTCTGATATAAGTACTTGTCCTAATCACCTGGTGGCTAATATGCATATTTCTTTCATTCAGAGCTACAACTAGATGCTGGGAATTTTCTTAGTTATAGAAATATTAGTATTTAATATGGTTATATATTAAGTTTGGCTTACACTACTGCATCAAACTATATTGAAGTAAAGAATAAAATAAAAACATTTTTTAAAAAATGATCATTTTCAGAATGCACTTAGCTTATCCACAGTTGGCTGTATAATTTGGACATTTTTGAAACTTTCACCAACCCAATATTAGTACAACCCAATGTTAGTACAAACCACAAAGGATTGTGGGTAATCACAGACACTGTGTCATTATGCTGGTTCATTGGAAGGAATTCAAACTATAGGGTGCTTTATGTTGTTGTTAGATCTGTGTTCTCATCAAATTACGGTACTGCCTAGGATGTTGCATCAAATTCTTGCAAGCATCAGGCTACTACTAGTATTAGGCTTAAATTAATAATCAGTGAATTGCAGAAATTTCATGTATGTAAACTCTTCGATCAAGAAGATAATGCATGACCCCAAGATTAAATGTTGATGCTATAGATATTTTATCATAGTGAATTATTTCATATTCCGGAAGAGCCTTAATATGTTTAGAAATATCCATCATTAAATTGCACTCGCCACAAATTATCTATCATGGGAAGATTAAAAACATGGGTAGGTTCTGTCAGCATCAGCCCTACTCACAATTTGCTTTGAAGGAAAGCTCCTATTTTACTCCAAAAATTATTTTATTAGTAAATAATAACTTTATGTAAGCCATGATTTGTCATGTGATTGATGAAGTGAATCTAGAACTTCAGCATTAACACACCACCTGATGAAAACATTATTAAATGGTTGAATTGAATACAGTACAATATCATCAGCTGACAATGTATTAAATAGGTGTTACAGTGCATCATAGAACAGTAAATAAAGAAACCATTGCTGGTGTTGATTTTGAAATAACTATATATAAACCTTTATTGCTGTCTGTGTATGTTTCAGTGCATTTGTGCATCGCTGTGGCAGGACTGCTAGAATTGGTAAAGCTGGCAATGCTTTGGTGTTATTGACTCCCAATGAAGACACGTACATAGAATTTATTGCTATTAACCAGCGGGTGAGTTTTACATCTAATAGCATGTGTGAACACTGTTGCAGTAAATTACCTAAGGTGTTTTTGCAGACTGTATGTGAGCAGATCAAAATGACTGTTTCCGCTTTCTTTGTTGTTTTATTACTTACAAGTCATTTGCAATGTTTCTATAGATACTTGTGTAGGGGCTTTTTGTGATGTTGTGCCGCTGCCGACTGCTGTTATCAAAGACGATGCATCAAAGCTAGTTATCGAGATGATTGTTCTTTTAACATCTTGCATCAATATTTGCTATAAGTAACTGGAAAACTACTAGCAATATTATTGATATTATGTATGTGTAATATTTCATCCGATTACTCCCCAGGTTCCTCTTCAGAAATGCGATGCCTTGGAAGATTTAGAAGTTGTTGATGTTTTAGAAATATTAAAAAAAATGTCAATGAAAGATAGGTGAGTTATCATTTTATTAATTGTCAGTTTTAATAGATTGTTATTTGCCTAACATGTCATCATTCAGTAGCTAGAATTACAGTAACTTGAGTCCAACCTCATCAGACATGTTTTGACTGGCATTCGCTTGGCCACAGTAATTTTATCATGTCATCAACCATTTCTTGGGGATACCG